ATTGTGGTTTTATTTCCACAGTCAAAGGCTACTTGTTACTTAGCATAAAACCATGATATGATTTCTTTTAACATGACACCTAAGATGAATATAGCTCTCAGGCCCATCCTTTTATTAATTAATTAGAGTTATCTATCTTTAGTGAAACCAATCCTGGAACTATTCTGACATCCAGATTTTTCAAGTGAGTCAAATAGGATGCCAATCCTGTCTAACCTAGGACAACACCCATAGTTCAGAGTCCCTGCAGCTTTGCAGTTACTGGGAACAACTTGCCTTCTTCTTAGTACAACAGTTAGTCCAAGTCACAGGACTAGTTTAGCACTTCTTAGGTGGATTAGTTACATTGCAGGAGAACTTTCAGAATCCCCAGCCACCATCCAATCCTGTTAGCATACTAGTGCTGGAAGACATTTAATTATTATTTTTTTCTGTCTCTTCCTAAAATTATGTGTCCTTCTCACTTCCTGGGGTTAGAAAAAAGGATTCATGAATGTTCTGACTTCAAATGAACTATATTGACCTGATAGTTTCAATCTTCTCTTCTACAGAAGAGCTAAATTACTTGAGGAAACTTAAGCTAAACAATATTGAAATGCCTACTTCTCTTTAGAAAAAAATATTGGATCTCAGGCTGTCAAGTGAATATTTGAATCCCTTGACATTTTTATCTGTTTATGCATTCATTAGTGGAGGGGTGGCATACCATATCAACCAGGAGTATGAGCTCTGGGTCAGACTTCCCATATTCAAAGCTACCTGCTATGTACTAATTTGTGGACTATGCTAAAGTCTTCTAACTTCTAGGTTTTTCCATTTCTTCTGTACAATGTGTACTACAATTCCATCTACTTCAAAGAGCTGTTGTACAGATACAGAATATTCAGTGCTATGTGGAACAAGTAAGAGTTTAATAAAATTAACTACTGTTATCCTGCGAATAATCCACTGAAACAAGGTGGACAAGGATTTAGTACCTACCGCATAACAGGGAATAGTATGAACACTGGAGAGAGAACAGATGACAAAAGAAACACCTCCACTACTTCCCAGCCTCTCTTTACCCATCATTCCACTCAGAAAGAGTGCAAGAATGTACCTCTAATAAAGATTATTACTATTAGTATTAATATATACTGAAGATTTTGAACTCAAGAGAGGGGGAAATTGCCAAAGGTCAAGCATACAGAGGTACTTATGCAGTCCTAATAAATTCTGAAATATCACATGTACTAGGATGTAATATGGAATTTATAATTAATTTTGCATCCTACAAAATTTATATTAAATTGTCAGAATTCATGGAAATATATGCTTCCTAAAACCCACAAAATCATCACTCACAATCATCATTTTAATGAGGATATTAGCAAAAATAAATTACTTAAACACCCCTCTAAATCATCATGTGTAATGGACAATGTAGGTCTAAGTTAAAATTTTGTGAACATTTTTTTTGTAATTAAAAGACATAATGTAATACCTAATACTTACATTTTTATTAGTACCAAATATTTGGTCATAGAAATGGAACAAGTGGAAATATACTAGTGAGGAAGAAAAGATAAAGATTTAATAACATGGATATAAGACTACTTAAGAAAAGAGAAAGAAGAACATGCACAAAAATGTGAAAGAAATAAAGCATGTTATTATAGAATATGTGTTGAATGAGAGTCAAAAGAACGAACAGAATGTGGGCTGGAGGGAAATGAGCATTATGTTCCACAGTGATTTTTTCTGTGCCTCCAGTTAACTTCAGCCTTATTCATATATTTTGCATTTAGTTGCCATTTTTGGTCATGCAAGTTTTAAATTTGATGGAAAACTGACTTATGAAATAACAAGCTTTTCATGTTATATTTACACTGTTTACTACTTACTGATTATTTGTGAAGTAATTATTTCATATAACAGAACCATGTTCTGGTACTATAGAGGAGAGCATAGGTAGATTAGAAATTCTTATTTATTATTCCATAGGGGATGAAAACTCAGCTTTTAAACACTTTTAACCTCTAATGGTAATAAGGATGAATATAACCCAATGTTCAGCTTAAAAACAAATGCTCTAATTCATTGGCAAGATACAATTAGGGGACCTTATGACAGCCCATATCAAGGTGGTGTATTCTTTTTGACAATTCATTTTCCTATAGACTACCTCTTCAAACCACCTAAGGTTGCATTTACAACAAGAATTTAATATCCAAATATTAACAGTAATGGCAGCATTTGTCTTGATATTCTAGGATCACAATGGTCTCTTGCTTTAACTATTTCTAAAGTTCTTTTATCCATTTTTTCATTGCTATGTGATCCAAATCCAGATGACCCTTTAGTGCCAGACATTGCACAGATCCATAAAACAGACATAAGTACAACAGAATATCTTGGGAATGGACTGAAAAGTATGTCATGTGATGCTACCTTAAAGTCAGTATAATCTGCATTATAGCTGGACTAAACTTTAAATTATTGTTCAAAAAACAAGTGATCCAAGTTTTAAATGTATTGGAAATATACAACAGAAAACATTTGTTTTGAGTATTGAACTTAGATGTGAATGCTTTCTAAACTCTGAGTTTCAGAACCTCACATCTCAAAAAAAGTGGAGGAGAAAGATTTCGCGGAAGAAGGCAGAAGAACAAACCAATTACTTATAGTAGAAGGAGAAGTTAGAGTTCTGGAATTCCTCTTCATGTTTATCTCCCCATCTAACCTGTATTTTGATAGGACTAGGATTGAGTTGAGTATGGGAAGAAACAGAATAAATGAAAAGTTAAAGTCAATAATACATTTTACAAGTTAACATTAGCAATTTAAACTTAAAAACAGATGAGGAAAATATGCCTCCTATGCTCATTCAAAATAGACTCATCTTTTCTCTAACCTCCTAATGCATTGTTCCTACAGACATATTTCATTTTAGGTATTTGCCTTTGAATGTTAAGAATAATATTCAGTCAAAGTTTGTGATTGTAAACTCTAATATGCGAACTAGTGCCTTCCAATAGAAAATAATGTAAGGCATAATTGAGTTGCCTATGTAAGTTTAATTTTTTATTTGTTACAGGAAATAAAGTAAACATAGATAGGTGAAATTAATTTTACTATATATTTATTTATTCTGATCTAAAATGTAGTTGTATTGACAAGTAATAAATATACAACTTAATAGTGAGATATTGTACATTATTTTTCATCCTAAGTTCCTGAAATTCAGTGTATAATTTAAAAGTGGAGTGCATTTTAAAAAGTAGAGTACATTCCCTTGTCACCAATTTTTTACTAAATAGCCACGTGTAAATGGTGGTTCCCATAATGGACAATGTAGGTATAATTAATATTATAGAAAAATCATTTCACCACAATTACAAATGTAATAAAATATATAATATTTATGTTTTTGACAGTCATACTCCTTTGGGTAATACAGAAAATGCCATGCCTCTTTGTGCTTTTTATTTTAGGAATGTCCTTACAGAATACTTCCAGAGCATAACTTTTGGATACTGAACACTGCACATCTTATCTCAAGTGTAGTGAATTGCTCCCATATCAAATGTTTAAATTACAATATTTGTGAAGAATTATTTATACATTTTAATTATGATACTTGACTGAGTATGTATTGGCCTTAGTTAAAACTGATTGGTTGACAAAAATTTCCATGTTTTATAGATGCTTAATCAATCCATTATTGACTTTGGTTTCAGTTCTCTTCTTTTGAAAGTATTATGTATATTTTCTGGCCTGTAACATTTTTGACTCTTGAAACCCTCATAGGCTCTGGGCCTCGTGCCCCTAATGCTATAAATCCTCCCTGGTACAACACCATTTTCCACATACCTGCTCATAAAACACAGGAATGGTCCTATTGTAGCTCTCAATGAAATTGTCACCTAGAGAAGGATTTTATTCACCTAAGTTGTCAGGATATTTGGGGTGCCTTTTTCATATTATTGGCATAATTTGCTAATAATTATTTATTTGGCTGATTGTTTTCTGTTTATGATTTTAGAGGGACTATCTAAAGTCCCTGTCTATTTTCTTTAAACTAACACATAATGTCTTTAGCCACTGAACATTGGGCAAAAGTAAAAAAACAAAACAAAAAAACCCCCGCTTATTGTAAAGGAAAATTCAAATCTCATTATACCTAAATCCAGAATGGATATCCCCTGCCACTGGCCATAGGGATTCACATTTGCTCTACACTGAACCCTATCTACAAAATTATTCCCAAACATTCAATGTTTCTAGTACAGTGAATCTGGTGAAGCACGTTTTTTACTTAAAGTTTAAAAATTCTTATAATAATATGAATTTATCAATCATTTACAGTTTAGTGAGATATTTCTTTATTTATTTTACATTTGTAATTATTTTCTTTCAGTTCTCTTACTTTAGGAATCTTTATACTTTAATAGTTTTGGGGTTTTTGTTTGTTTGTTTTTCCTTCTTCAAATCTTTGCTTCTCCATCTTGAGCTATTTTTCTTGTGTCAGGAAACGTTTTTCAAACTTTGCAGATATTTTTGGTTGTCATAACTGGGAATGAGATAAGTTATGCTGTCATCTTTAGAGTAGATAAAGAGGTGCTTCTAAAACCTTTAAATTGTATAAAGGGGCTCCAAGAAACAAAGGATGATCCACCCCCAAATGTCAGTAGTGCTGAAGTTGCAAAATCATATTCTTATTGTTCACTTTTAAACAGTTATCTGTGTTCTTTCCTTTAAATGATAATTAAATTTAAATATATTATTGTTTGAAGTAATTCATCTTGTTTTATTTTAATTGATAACTTTCCAAGTCTGGAAAAATTTTATATAATTTATTCAACTTATAACAGTCTGAATAGCCCTGAATATTTCCCAAGATAGTACTTCAAAGTTTTTCCTTTTTGTTTTTTTAAATGTTGGTAGATACAATGACAATTTTGATGATATCATTATGAAGTCTTATTAATTTAATGTATCTTTGTTGCTCTATTTCATAGGTCCCCTTAGATGGAATATAATAAAGCAGAAGCTTCAAAAGGATTAATGCCTGGATTATCATTTCTGCAATAAAACAGAAATCTAAGTGGTGAAGACCACAGGCACCTCAATCCTGGATTCCAGAATTCTATATTAAGCACTGGAGTTTTTAGTACTCTGCTATAGGAAAGCCTTTGCCAATGCTTACAAGGAACTGTTTATCCCTGCTTCTCTGGATCCTGTTTGATGGAGGTCTCCTAACACCACTTCAACCACAGCCACAACAGACTTTAGGCACAGAACCAAGAGAAAATGTTATCCATCTGCCAGGGCAACGATCGCATTTCCAACGAGTTAAACGTGGTTGGGTATGGAATCAATTTTTTGTGCTGGAGGAATACATGGGCTCCGAACCTCAATATGTGGGAAAGGTAATGGCGTGTTTCTTTTGACAACCACTTGATAGGAAGGGGGAATATGAATTGTGTATTGTGTATGGATGTTTTGCACAGGAAGTGAACAAACCAGTGACTAGACCACTGGACTTACAATCCAAGATTTCTCTTCCTGACTCATGGCCTGGGTAAGCTTTGGAATATCATTTAACCCCTCTTTATTTTAATTCCCCCTGATTATTTTAATGAAAATAATAAATGTGTGTGTGTGTATTTGGAATACATTCCATGTTTATTTATTTTGCTTCTATTTTTGTCATTCTTTGTAGAAGAAAGGAAGTTAAAATATGTAGATGTCATAAAAAGCCTTAGCACATATGGTGTGCAGCCAATCTGAAATTGTTCACTAGTCAAGTCAGAGACAAAAAAAAAAAAAATCTCCAGGCATAATATCTTAAATTGATATTGAAGTTCTTGAATGAGCAGGATTAATTCCTTCCCTTTTTATTTAAAGCTTGAAACACCATCAGGATTGTAGTTCTAAAAACCTGTCTGTTTTGACCTATAAACAATTTCTCTTTGTTATGTTTTGCAAGTTATTTTAAAGTTACTTATGGTCAAAGGCATAAATACTGGATCAGAAATCTGCACCATTTGATACTGAAACTAGCATATAATTTTGAAACCATATTACAAGCTTAGAGATTTTTAAAAAATAGTCAATAATAATAGTTTCAGCATGCTTGTTTTGATAATTGTTTTCCTTTTATTAAAAATTGTCCTTATATCTAAGATAGATAAAATTTATCCACATTATCAAAAAGTCATTTTTCCAGGGCTGGGGTTGTGGCTCAGTGGTAGAGCACTCACCTAGCCTGTGTGAGACTCTGAGTTCCATCTTCAGCACCACATAATAATAAATAAATAAAATAAAGGTATTGTGTCCAACTACAACTAAAATATAAATATTTTTTAAAAAGACATTTTTTTTCAGAAAAATGAATATTTTATTTTATTTTGATTTTGTGAAATTTCTTTTAAATTTTCTAAATGATTTTGTCATGAACTTTAATGAAATCAGATTAACTCTCTTGAGGAGAGAGCAAAATAAGCAAAATAAATGCAAAGACAGAAATGGAAAACAATGGTAGGAAGGCTATTTGGTTTAGAAGGTCATGTCCCTTGAACATTAAATCCTGTGAGTTTTCTGAAAATTTAAGCTATAGAGAAGCATGATTGGACTTGTGATTCCAAAATTTGGATAAAAGTAGCATATCTGTTCATGCTCTACATTCTTTATATTATTTTGTTTAAAATTTGCCCTTTGGAAATGTATTTAAATTTTACTGAGTAACAGAGTGAAAAATAAGTTCCAGTAGAAACTGCTGAAAATGAACATACACCCAGGATTACCACACAGTTGTATGGGTCCCAAAATAATTTGGTTTGCTTTTGTTTTTTTACTGGACATTTATCTATATATAAAAGTTGAGTCCCTAGGCTTGCCATGTAAGATCCATTCTGGGTATTCAGTTTCAAATAATCTTACAAAAGAACAATAGTAACAGTAGATACCATGGCATTGTTCAGCTATCTCCTTGACAGCTGAGTCTGGGTTTGTAACCCTGGGATGATCTTCTAAATGCAATCCCTGGATTTGAAACCGTGGGTTAAGCAGAAGATCATAGTGAGTTCAAATGGTTAGAAAAACAGTGAGGCCCAAAGAGTTCCAATTTAAAGATGTCCTTCTAATATAACAGCTACCCACTAGGACCATAGGCAAAAGAAGGGTCTTAGGTAGTTTGGAGAAGGTACTACAAAGTTCTGATGTCTCTGAGGTAATTGCTGAAAACTTCTGCTTATACAATTCTGCAATAGGACCATATGATGTAAAAACCATTAAGACGTGTTTAGATGATTTCATGTAGTTTTGGTGCACTTGCTTCTTCTTTATTTAACTAAATATAAAGATGGAGGTTTGAAACCCAGTACAAATGAATGCAAGGCAGAGCTCCAAACCATTTTTTCCTAAGCTCTGCTTATGATAGATGGTATATATCACATTGAAATTCCTGAAAAATGCCTGTAGAGAAGGTACTCTCTATTTTTAATTAGATCAGACTCACAGACTTTAGTCACAAGAATTAGAGATAATAAAGTCAACATTTTGTTAACAAATTAATGACACTTTGTTTTTTTTCAAGGTAGAATAGTTTTTAACCTACCAATGATCTTAAGTTGTAATGGACACGTTAGGTTAACTGTCCAAGTCCTTATTTGGTATTCTGGAATTCCACCATTATAATTTTATGGTGTGAAATTTATTTGGTTCACTTAGAAGACAAGTTAACATTTGTAGATTGTATTAAAAGGAGTAGATTCAACATCTAACCTATTACGACATTTATAGAGTGTTATTTCTACAGGTATATGGCTGTACATTGGTAATGTGTAATAAAACCCCCTTTTTTCAGCAAAAATACACTTCTAATGTAAATGAAATGTCAGTTGCCAACATTTTCTTTCCTCAAGGAAACTAATTAAAGTTTAATTAACTCTGTGTTGATACTTCTAATTTTGGGAATAAAATATGATAGCATGGAGGCCAATTCAACATATTTTATATATGTTTGTAAACAATATACAAATGTATTTATATTTCTGCTCATTCTATAAAGGCTTTGAGATAGCACACAGAAAGGCAGATTATTACCAACTATATAGAATTCAGGGCTAAGGAAAAAGGCAAATGCAAAATTGCCCACCACAATGGTCTACTGACTACTATCATTGTGCCTCCAATTTAATTTTCTTTTTCTTTTTAAAAGAAGGCTTAGTCCCTACTATTGGAGACTCCATTCATTTAGAGAAAATTTATTTCCAAGTATTAAAATATGAAAGAATGATCCGATGTAGAAATTTGTAGAAAGAACAGTGTGTGGCTCAGTGACCATTAGCCTTGTTAACAATTGTATTTAAAGAAGCAGATGTTAACATTGATATCCTTTTGTATGAATGAATGCTGCTTTACTTCTCATACAAAAAATCATAACAGTATGTTAAATTGAACCCAATTATTTCTCAAAATACATGTTTTGTATTTTACTAAAATAACCTGGGTGTGAGTTTCTATGTAGTCAAGTGAGACAGAAATTAATTTACTTTTAAAAAATTACATATTAGGTATTGCTAGGTGCTAAAACTAAAGACAAAGAAAAAAGCCTGCATCACAAATATCCACATAATTATGCACATGCATGTATACATACACAAATTAATGATAATTTGGTTGCTTACTCCAATGCAGACAATTGCATGCCTATGTCTGTGTATTTCCAAGTTTTGTCAGAGCCTCAAGGCAATATATCAAGACAATACTGACCCTTGTTTCCTCTAAGAGTAATTCTGAAAGCCAAGTTGTCATTACAGATGAATTATAGTTAGAAGCAACACTTAAATTTAAATTGTTTAAAACGACAAAAATATAAAAGTGAAACATACAGTCCCTAGTTTCAGTGGCCTCTATTTATTGAATATATTTTGATTCAGCATGCATTAAACCCTGATACATATTAAGCCTGGTGAGGTTAAAAGTAAATATGAAGTCCCCTACATTAAAATATAATAGGTAAACTTTACTGAGTGATTCCTTTGGGCACCATATAATTGCTTAACAAACGTAAATTTATGTATCCTTTCATAACAGCATTATAAGGAAAAATACATATGAAAAAACTGAGGTGCAGAAAGCTAAGTAATCTACCCATTGTCCAACACCCAGTAAATTCTGAAGTTAAAATTTAAGGCTAGGTAGTCTCTATTTTGCTCCATTGCACCAGACAATATCAGGGTATATAATTCTCTATAGCTCCCAAAGGTGAACAATAACTTCAGTACTATGCCAAAAGCACTATAGTGGAGACAGATTGTGGGACTGGAGGGACACTGGATGCTCTGTAACTGTATCAAGAAATGTAGGACTTCAAGAAAGTTTTCAAAGATGAGGAAGCACCTGAGATGCAAAATGATTTGACTGACATTTCCAGAAGAGGTTGTATGGAGTAAAGTTTTTAAAAACCCTGAGATAAAGTTTCAGAGTAGTTTTGATTTGCATTTTCCTGATTGCTAAGGATGATGAATATTTTTCATGTGTATTTGTTGACCATTTGTATTTTTTCTTTAGGGAAGTGTCTGCTTAGATCATTTGTCCTTTTATTGATTGAGTTATTTGTTTTTATGTTCTTCATAAACTCTGGATATAAATCCTCCATCAGAAGAGTAGCTAGCAAAGATTTTCTTCCTATCTGTAGCCTTTTTCTTCACTTTCTAAATTTACTTTGTTGCTGTGCAGAAGCTTTTTAATTTGACATCATCCCACTTATTGATCCTTAAGTTTATTTCTTGAGCCTTAGTAGTCTTAATAAGGTAATTTGTGCCTCTGCCAATATGTTGCAGTGTTGATTCTATGATTTCTTCTCATAGTCGCAGTGATTTTGGTCTAATTCCTAGGTCTCTGATCCACTTTGAATTGCTTTATTTTTTTTCAGGTTGATCAAAAGAAATGTAATTTCCTTCTTCTTCATACAAAGGAACATTTTCCAGCACCATTTCTTAAAAGGCTATATATATTTTTTTCCCAGTGCATGTTTTTAGAAACTTTGCCAAGTGTCAGATGACTGTATCTATGTGGGGTTGTCTTTGTGTCTTTTGTTCTATCCTATTGGTCTTCATGTCTGTTTTAGTGTCAAGACCACACTGGTTTTGTTACTATAGTTCTGTAGTATTTATTGAGATTGGGTAATGTGATGCCACCAGCAGCACTCTTGCTCTGTATTGCTTTGGATATTCTCAGTCCTTTATTCTTTCATAAGAATTTTTGGCCTGCTATTTTTTTGTCCCTAGTTTTTTGAAGAATGTCACTGGTATTTTGATGGGTATTATGCAGATAATAAGATTTTCTGGGGAGGATGTGGGAAAAATGTTGTACTTCCACATATTTCGTGGGACTTCAAGTTATTTTGGAAAATAGTATGGCG